CTTGATTTCAAAACGTCGTCGAGATGTTTTGAGTGATAGCGACGTTCTCAAGAACCACGGCTGTATCACATTAGAGCCAGTCTTCAGCCCCTTTTTCTCATTCTCTTGCCTTCTTTAGAGCTGTTTCAGTTCAAACAAGAGCACTGTTACAGCTTGTTGCGTACCCGGCGAACGAGGACCCATCGGAGATACTGGCCTGCCGGGTTTGCCAGGTAATCCGGGCCCTGACGGAGCACCAGGCCGACCAGGCGCCACACCGAACGCATCATGTATTCCGGAACGAGTCTTCGAACCACCACCATGTCTACCGTGTCCGCAAGGGCCTCGCGGCTTGCCGGGACATCCTGGATTCCCAGGTGATCCTGGAGATGCAGGCATTGCCGGACGACCTGGTGAGAACATATATACTGCTCCCTTGCGCTTGGTTCAACTTCACACTTGACTCGTCTTAGTGATTGAGCTTAAGCATCTAGAGTGACTCTCAGGAACAAGTGAATCACTTGCCTTGTTTAGTACCTCATTTGTTTCAGGACTGGATGGTCTCCCAGGAAAGCCAGGCGAAGACGGTCCACCAGGCCCGCCTGGTCCAGTNGGCCACCTGGTCATAGAGGCGCCAACGGAGAGGATGGCTACCCAGGACCGCCGGGCGAAAAAGGCTGGCCCGGTCCACCTGGACCACCGGGACGTATTGGTCTAGCTGGTGCACCAGGCCCAATGGGAGAAGAGGGCCCGTCCGGTAAGTTCATATTTTAGCTCAGACTGCGCCACTAATAGGGGACTTGTCAGTTTTTTTTGGGGCCAAGAGATTCATCAAAAACTCAAAATTATTCGGGAAACTCTTTTCTTGAGGTGATCATGGAAATTATACCTAGGGATGTCGTGTCTTCATTTCTAGTCCTCACTGTGCAATTTTTTCATTTTTTATACTTCTAACACATTCATTGTTCACATAAATCTACTGAAGGCTCCTGAGTGGGAGATAGACCAAAATGTGCCAGCAAAATGTTTTCAAAAAGGTATCTCCAAATAGTAATATCCCATTCAACCATTCAGGATCACCAGGCACGTGTGTCTGTCAGGACACAGAAGTGGTAATCGCTGACACG